GGGGCGGGGGCAAGGGCGCCGGCCCGCGGATGCAGCCGCCGGTGCTGCTGCAGGTTGGAGCTCTGTGTGAAGCGCTTGCCACAGTCCAGGCATTGGTAGGGACGCACACCCGTGTGAGTCAGCTGGTGGCGGCTGAGGTTGGCCAAAGAAGCAAAGGTTTTGCCACATGAGTGGCACTGGAAGGGCCTCTCACCTGTGTGCGTCCGCAGGTGGTTGCGCACATGGACCAGCTTCTTGAAGCCCTTGCCACAAACCCCGCAGCGGTGCCGCCTTTCCGGGGGCCCATGGACTGCGCGACGATGCCGGGAGAGCCGGGAAGCTGAGGCAAAGGACTTAGAGCACTGTGGGCAGGGCAGTTGGGCAGGTGGGGCAGGGGGTGGTGGTGGAGGAGTGGGCTCAGCTGGAGCTGGGGAGGCTGTTGCCACACTTGGGGGTGCTCCGCTTTTACCAGCATGAGTGCGCCGGTGGTAGAGGAACTTGGTCATGTTGCTGAACGTCTTGCCACAGCGACAGCGATGCAACGGGTTGGCAGTGTGGGCCCGCCGGTGGGCCACCAATGTGAGTTCTGTGCCAAAGCCACGGCCACAGTCAACACAGAGGTAGCGGGCTTCACCACGGTGTAGCCGCAGATGCTGCTCTAGCGAGGCTGCTTTCTTGAAGACCTTGGAGCAGGTCGTGCACTCATGTGTGCCACCCACATGTGCCCGCCCATGAGCCAGCAGCCGGTTGGCTGAACTGAAGCTGCGCTGACACTGGCTGCAGTGAAAGGGATGGGTTGCTGATGCTGGGCCGCGAGATGCCCGCCGGTGTCGCCGGCGTGCCCCTGCTGAGGTCCAGTGTTGGGAACAATCCCCATAGCCCTGGGCCTGGTTAGCTGCAGACTTGTCAGCTCCTACAGTATCATCACCAACCTCTGCTGCTGGTTCCTCTTCATCCTCTGTCTCATCATCATCTTCATCCTCCTCCTCACCTTCATCCTCCTCTTCTAGCCCATTGCGTTCTTCTTTCTCCAGAGAGTCAAAGTGGGTGCCCTGATGCTCCAAGAATTCTTCAGGGGTAGCACAGAGGGTAGAGCACTCAGGACACTCATAGGGCTCCATCTTGACTTCCAGTGGTAGAGTGGGTGGAAGTGGTGGTGTTGGGGGAGGTGGAGGAGGTGGCATTGGTAGCTCATTGGTGGCTGCTGTGGCAGACAGATGTTGGGTTTTGCGATGAGCCACCCACAGCTCAGGTGAGGGAAACAACTCCTGGCAGTCTCCACACTGGTATTGAATCTGGCTTGCAGACTCTCTGAGATGGGCATCCTGGTGGGCTAGAAGCTCGCTTGGGGAGAGGATGAGCTGGTTACATTCACCACACTGGAATGGCCCCTCCTCAGTGTCTGGTGCTAGTTCGGGCTCCAGGCCAGCGTCCTGGGTGGTCAGTGCCTCTTCCTCAGACAGCACAGGTGCGTGCTGCTCCTGGTGTGAGAGGACTTCCTCCAGTGTGTTGTAGAGACTGCCGCATTCGGAGCACATGAACTGGTGGTGCTGGAAGAAGAGAGACGAGGCCAGGGCCTCCCCAGGGCTCATCTCAGTCACCTCTGCTGTCATTTCCATCATCTCTCCTGATATTGGTGTTGACATCTCAACTGCCACTGGTGACATCTGTGATGGCACCTCAGCCACCTCAGCCACCACCTCTGCCATTGTGGAGAAGGCAGTACCTAGAGAAAGGGGGGCAGGAGCTGATGAGACACCAGGAACCCAGGGGGAGAGGGATGTCTCGGTAACAACCTTGCCCATCTTGTTACTCACCAGCCTCTATCAATCAGCAAGTCTTAATCCAGTATTTATGCCTTGGTTTTCAATGATCCTGCGTCTCTGAAATCTATGGGTGCCCAATGGCAGCCAGGCATCTGCAGGTAAGAGCCAGCATTCCTCAATATGGCCTCTGAGGCTGTCCTCCTCACCCAGAGGGTCAGTCATGCCCCTCTGAGAACATAACACGTCCCTAAGGGCCTCTCACACCTGGCCTGTGTAGTTTCCTCTTTGTGCAATATCTTTCCTCCTCCCCTTACACAGACACACACAGTTACAGCAAAGCGTTTAAAAGCACAGGCTCTGGGACCAGCAGTTGGTGTAATGACTATGTTGCTAGATTCCCATGTAGTCGACCATGGTTCGAGTCTTGGACCCAGTGGCTTAAACTCACACCAGGTGTGTATGCATGAATGTTTAAGATCCTGAGAGAAGAATGGAGGAGAAGGGATTGCAGTACAGCCATGCCCCCTGGGGGGGTGATGTCTCGCTTTCTGTCTCTCTGTCTCTCTCTGTCTTTCTGGCAAGCACACATACCCTATAGCAAAAACCTCTCCAAAACAACAACAACAAAAAATAAAAACACAGGCTCTGAAACCAGAATGTCAGCTTGAACGTAAGCGCCACCATTTACTTCCTCTCTCTGAGCCTGTTATCACACCTGTAACATAGTGCTAGAAGTACTGCTAACCACAAAGTCTCTGGCACTTGATCAAGGTTAGCTATACTCACTACTGTTCTCCAAAAATACTGTTTTGGACCTTAAGTCTTTGGTGCTATTTCTCCTGCCAAGACAGTTCTCTCTTGTTTAAAAAATTCCCACCCAGCATTTCCTTTATGAAGCCTTCTTTGACATCTCTCAATCCTCAGGGTGTTGGCCATTCCCTCGTCCTTGGAGTTCCTTCCTTTAGTATCTTGTGTTACTTCTATCAGCAAATATTATGACCTTGGGATGGCATCTCTTTTCTACTTGGGGGGGGGCATCAACCCAACTCAGGCCCCTTTACACAGCAGGGGCTCAGAATCCACTCAGCAAAGGACTACTTCCCTCATAGACCTTCAAGCTAATTTTCTTTCTTTCTTTCTTTTTTTTTTTTTTAAGAGGTTTTTTTGGCTATAAGGTGTGTGTTCTCGCCAGAAAGACAGAGAGACAGAAAGCGAGAAATAATTCCCCCAGGGGGGATGGCCACACCACAACCCCTTCTCCTCCATTCTCCTCTCGGGATCTTGGACACAACCTCACACACACACACACACACACACACATACGCACTCTCTCTCTCTCTCTCCCCCAGTGTGAGTTTAAGCCACCAGGTCTGGGACTCGAACGGTGGTAAACTATATGGGAGTCCAGCGACATAGCCATTACACCAACTGCTGATTCCTCAGAGCTAATTTTGAGAATCCAATCCTTACCTTTTATCTCTTCTTTACCTCATCTTTTAGTGCAAATACGGAGTTTAGCTTAACACTCCAAATAAAGAAGTTGCTTGGAGCCAGCAGGTGGCATGGTGGTCACTGAATTTCCACATGGCTGACTACAGTTCAAGTCCTAGACCTGGCGGCCTAAAAATCATTTCAGGTACATGTGTGTGCATACCCAAAACTCCAGAAGGAGAATGGAGAAGGGATTGCATGGCCATTCCTCCTGGGGGGATGGTTTCTTACTTTCCCTCTCACTGTCTTTCTCCAGGGAGCACGCACGGTCTGACAAAAGCCTTAAAAGAAAAAAATAGAAAAAGAAAAAAAAGCTGTTCTGCTCATAGTAAGCTCCCAGAGGGCAGGAATTTTAGCCTGTTCATCACTGCAATATTTCCAGTGCCAAGAACAATGCCTAGCACACAGCAGGCACTCAGTACATATTTGAAGAAGAAATAATGTTCTCTCCAGGAAGTGAGACCCTGGGAATCTAATGGTCCCTGTGGACTTTCCACTTGTATCAGACCAACTTTCTCATTAGACCATGAATTCCCACACTACATAGTCCAGAGCAGAGTTCTCTTTTCAGTTGGTGCCCAATAAGAGCTCCTTGAGTAAATGATTCACTAAAAGGTCAGGGGCTAAACGTCCCTTACCTCCCTGTTCTCCCTTCCTCACTAATTGTTGCCTTGCTAGGGCCCTGTATACAGCAGCCATTCCGTAAAGAATCTCCTTGGAAGTAGTCAAATGGGACTGAGAGTTCTGGTTTTCCTCATTTACAGCCCCACTCGGAACAGAGAACTCCCCCTGGGCTAGGCCTAGTGCCTTCTGTAAGGCTTGCACGAAGTAGGCACCCATTAAATGTCTCTCAGCTCAGGGTGGTCCGGGAGATCTGACATTTGCCCTTTCCTCAACTATATTCCCCTTCCTCAGTGTTAGACTGTGAACTACCTGGGGAGGAATGGGGGCTTTTCGTACAGTAGATCAACGAGTCCTTTCAGGAAAGAATCCACCAGGGGCCTGGAAGTTCAACTTTCCCGCTATACAACCCTTTTATCCTACCATAGCCTCGGTGGCCAGAGAATCCCCTGCAGCGGGTGACGGTGGGTCAAGAGGAGGGTCTCGCACACCGAAGGAGCTCTAGCAACGCTCCAAGGCGCACAGGAAGGAGCGCTCTTTCCACCCCCCGCCGCTCCCGCCCCAGCGCAGGCCTCCAGGCTCTTCGACCCCCGGCGTTCCTAAGTTCTTCCTCCGCCCTCTCCGCACTCCCAGCACTCTCTTCCCCTGCCCGCCCCGCGGCGCCCTCACCCGTCTCTCCTGCCTCCTGCAGCCCCTGCCGCTCTTGACACAGACCCTCGGCTCCTGGCGTGTGGGACCCCTCACTATCCGCACCTCCCATTGGGCGGCGCCCTTACCCGTAGTGGCCAATCAGACACGGCAGCGGAGGGCACGCGCCCTTGCGCCTGCGTGTTGTGCTCAGGCGGGGCTCCGTAAATTCTCCACGCACACAGCTCGGTCCTGTGGGCGGGGCTCGCGGCGGAGAGGGGCGCCTGCGCAGTTTGCCTGGGCCGCGCCTTTCTGCAAAGAATCTGAAAGTTCAGGGAAAAGACGTGGGCACCGTTATTTAGCGAGGGTCAGCGGAGTGGACCGAGCTGCAGGAGACCTTGACAGAGATGTCATTTCATAGCCGAAGAGACTCAGCATCTCTGACAACACACCTCGTGAACCAGACATACTTGTGTACTTCTCCTCAGGCCTTAGTTTTAAAGTAAAACTTTAAAGGCTGTGGAGGGGATCGAGTTATAACACACATAGAGCTCAGCACAGGGTCTGATAAAGCGTGGATGCTCATGATAACCCATGTAACATGGACATAATCCCTCCCCGTTTGTAAAATTCCATTCTCTTCCCTCCCACTCTTAGTGTAATGATAGTCACTTATGGGGCTCTGACCGTATCTTCCCAGGACTATGCTTCTTTAGGTGATCATTGTCATTTATCTGTTCACAAGTGAGGAAACTGAGGCTCAGAGGAAAAGGGATTTTTTTCTTTCATTTTTTAGAGAGATTTTTGCTATAGGGTGTGTGCACTCACCAGAGAGACAGAGACAGAGGAAACAGAAAACGTGAGAAATCACCCCCCCCTCCCCCAGGGGGTATAGCCACCAAGCAATCCCTTCTCCTCCATTCTCCTCTTGGGATTTGGGCATGGGCATGCCCATGCCCCCACCTCCCCCCAAGCTTCCAGGTTCAGGACTTGAACAGAGGTCAACCATGTGGGAGTCCATTGCCATCCCCACTATGCCACCTGCTGACCCCTTATTTTTTTAGGTGTTTGCCATAGGGTATGTGGGCTTGCCAGAGAGAGACAGATAGTGAGAGGGAAAGTGAGAAATCATCCCCCAGGGGATATGGCCACTCTGCAATCCCTTCTCCTTTTTTCTATAGTGATTTTGGACATGTATACACACATCCCTAGAATGATTTTCAAGCCACCAGGTCTGGGACTTGAACTGAGGTGGGCCATGTGGGAGTCCAGCACCGTAACCACTATGCTACTTGCTGGCCTGGAAAAAGGATTATTTATTTTTTGGGGGGAGAGGTTTTTGGTATAGGGCACAGGAGCTCGCCAGAAAGACAGAGAGAGACAGACACAGAAAGCGAGAAACCACCCCCCCAGGGGGATGGCCATGCCACAATCCCTTCTCCTCCATTCTCCTCTCAGGGATCCTGGGCATGCATGCACACGCCTGGCATGAATTTAGGCCACCAGGTCTGGGATTCAAACCACAGTTGACTACATGGGAGTCCAGTGACATAGCCATTACGCTAACTGCTGGTCCCACTGGGAAACTTCTAAAGAAGAGCTAACTTTCATTAAGTCAAACTATTTCCAAAAACCAAAAACGTAGAAACCCTCTAAAATTTATTTTATGAAGCCTCCATTGCCCTTATCTCCAAAATAGACAAGGGCAGGACATAAAGGAATACTAAGGGCCAATATAGAAGCAAAAATTCTCAATAACATACTAGCAAATTGTACCTAATGATACATAAAAAAGATGGTAGATCATGACCAAGTAAGCTTTATTCCAGGAATGCAAGTGTGGTTCAACATACACAAAACAATAAGGATTCTTTTTTTTTTTTGAGAGATTTTCACTGTAGGGCACATGTGCTCGCCAGACAGACAGAGAGAGACATAGAGACAGAAAGCGAGAAATCACCCCCCAGGGGGGATGGTCACGCCGCAATCCCTTCTCCTCCATTCTCCTCTCGGGATCTTGGGCACGCACGCACACGTGCCCGGCATGAGTTTTAAGCCACCGGGTCCGGGACACGAACCGCGGTCGACTACATGGGAATCCAGCGACATAGCCATTACGCTAACTGCTGGTTCCCGGGAAAAGGATTCTTAAGAGGTCATTGGTATAGCCCAAGTACAGCCAACCCTGAGCCAGTGTCAGGACTCAGGTCTCCTGCTTCCTGAGGGGAGCTAATTCCAGGGCTGGAACCTGATCTGGAGAAGGCATCTGTCTTGGGCACCTTTCAGGCCTGACCCTGAGTCACCTATTGGGGACTGGGCTGCTGCCACCCTCAAGGTCCTGAGGTGAGGTTACCACTCGATGACATTATGACCTCTACTCTTACTCTTCACCGATAGACCAGCTCTGGTTGGTGCACGTTAGGGAGGGGGGACCCGGGAGGCTCGGGGATCTTTGAGGTCAGAGATTTGAAGAGGTTATGAAGAGGCTGTTCTAATATTGGTTGAGAGGTGTGGGACTGAGCTGGGAGTTCGTGATGGACGCCATCAGTAGGTGTACAGTGGGGATGGAGGGACATATGGCTGGTTGGACACCACATCAGGAAAAATGTCGGTCCTAAATGAGATGAGGGAATCCTGGTCTCAACCAGGGAAGGCAGTTTTAGATTGGAGGATATGTTGAATGGGGAGAGGCTTCCCGGTCGTGATCGTGAGATGGCCTAGTTGCGATGTAGGTTCTTGGTATCAGGAGTAGGGGGCAGACTGACGGAGGTGTATCCAGGTTCTGATCAGAAGGGTCCTGGGTGCTTTCTGGAAGTTGGGAAGGTCGTGATTGTGGTTCTTTTCTACGAACAGCTGGGGGCAGTGGTAATCAGGACAGGCACGCCGCCTATGAGATAAGTGGTACCAAGAGGGATCCGGAGGCTTCAGCTGCAGGCAGAAAGAAGGGACCCCCGTAACCGTGCACGAGACAGTCTAGATGCCGAGTGGCTCTAGTTCTGCGCAAGCGCGGCATAGGAAGGGCAAGCCGCTTCTGTCAGGCGGCCGGGAAGGGGCGGGGCTTAGAAGCCTCATTCTGCGCTTGCGCCTAAGGGGCGTGGCGGTCGCACCTGCGCGAGTTGGGGGAAGGAGGAGGGGCGAGGTGACGCAGGCGTAATAATAGAGAAGGTGCCAGAAAGATCCAAAACAAGTGGCTGCGGCCGTCGCCCGGGAGTCATCGGACGCCGGAATCCGGTGAGGATCCAGAGAGGCCTCTGGGCTGCTAGTGGTGGGTAGACGCAACCACCTGGCCGCTGGGGAAGCAGCGGGGCCGGCTTCATAGGGCGAGCAGATCGGGTTGGACAGTACTACCTGTGTGGAGCGAAGGGCTGCCTTGGTCGGCCCTTCTTGTGGGGGCAGAGGGTCGTTTTCGGACGGTACCACTTGGATGGAGCCGTGGGGCTAATCGGACGGTACCACTTGACAGAGCCAAAGGCCATATCCAGACCGTACTACCGAGAGTCAAAGGGCAGTAGGCAGGGCGCCCTGGAATGGGCCCGAGGTTTGTTCGGGCCGAATCACTTGGTCTGGTCCGGAGGTTAGTTCGGAACGTACCACCTGGGGAGGGGCGTTCAGGCTGGGCCGGCCCGACTGGTCGGAGGACAAGCGGGGTCTGGCGTCCCGACCTGTTACTAAGGGACCTCGGGCGATACCATTTCCTTTTGGGAAAGGGGGAGGTCGAGACGGTTGGGAGGTGTGGGGGTGGTTCTGTCCCGCAGGACAGGGCGGGGGCCACGCGCTGGCCCGGGCGGGGTCCGGCTCCCGGCGTCGCTAACCACTGCTCCCTGCCTGCCGTGTGGGTTCTAGGCCCCGGCTCTGAGCCTTCAGCCCCCTCCCTTGGGAATGGAGCTATCCGGGTCGACCCCAGCCCCGAGCTGGGAGGAGGATGAATGCCTGGACTACTACGGGATGCTGTCGCTTCACCGCATGTTCGAGGTGGTGGGCGGACAACTGACCGAGTGCGAGCTGGAGCTTCTGGCCTTCTTGCTGGATGAGTCCCCTGGCGCCGCCGGCGGCTTGGCTCGCGCCCGCAGCGGCCTGGAGCTATTGCTGGAGCTGGAGCGCCGCGGGCAGTGCGACGAGAGCAACCTGCGGCTGCTGGGGCAGCTCCTGCGCGTGCTAGGCCGCCACGACCTGCTGCCGCACCCGGCTCGCGCGCGCGG